GCTCCTGTCCTGCAATAAATGGCTCCTACTCCTGCTATATCAACGTTCACAAGTTGTTCGTCACCCCCGGTTATTTTGCTGCAGCCGGACTGCGGCAGGTATATTTCACTTTAAGAACAGAGAACAAGGTGAAATAAAGGGATTAACAGCAGCAATGTGAGAAAACTGGGGAGTGGAGGGAGGCATTGTTGTACCTGTGGCCACAAGTGGCCCATTATGTGACAGATGTAGGTGGGTGACAGTTTGCTTTCTTCAGAATGTACCTGGATCATTCGGCTCCAGGGGAATGGGAGACAGGTTGTTAAAGGGACATTGATAAACTAGAGCAGACCGTGAGAGCCCACCCAGAGTGGTGGAATTTGGAATCAGATCTTGGCAAAACCTATAAAGAAATTAGTGATGTTACACTGTGGAGACTCCAATATGGATCAGTGACAGGCAGATACCATTGTTAGAAAAGAAGGTAGACTTCTGCATAGTTAGAAAAGCCAGTGTTAGGGCTGGGTGTGGTGGAGCATGCCTGTAATCCCAGAGGCTTGGGAAGCTGAGGCAGGATCAGGAGTTCAAAGCCAGCCTCAGCAACTTAGCAAGGCCCTAAGCAACTCAGTGAGACTCTGTCTCTAAAAGAAATACAGAAAAGGGCTGGGGATGTGACTCCGTGGTTAAATGCCCCTGATATCAATTCCTGATACCAAATATAAAAATAGCATGATCTTAGTTCCAAGTCCTTGAAAGTTTTCCAATAGATCATGGAAGATTATAACTCTTTTTGAAAGGATTTCAGCCCTGGGTGTGCAATTTGACTGTATAACCTCTACGGTTTCTCCTAATGCTAAGATTTTTAGATCTAATACCTCTCACTAAGGTGTCCAATCATGAGCTTTCGTTCTAACTGCTCTGTGGACATCAGGAACTCCTAATATTTAACATTAGAGTTTGTATAATGTAGACTCTTAATGCTAACAAACTTTTATCCAGTTCTTACACCTGCCAGCCAGAGTCCTAAGGATGTGTCAGCAAGAATTAACTCTGATAATCCTCAAAACAAACCTATAAGGGCTGGGGTTGTAGCTCAGTGGTAAAGCGCTTGCCTAGCATGTGTGAGGTCCTGGGTTTCATCCCCAGTACAACATTAAAAGAAAACACCCTAAATAAACAAAAGTAAACTAAAAATATTTTTTTAAAAAGACTGTAAGGGGGCTGGGGATGTGGCTCAAGCGGTAGCGCGCTTGCCTGGCATGCGTGCGGCCCGGGTTCGATACTCAGCACCACATACAAACAAAGGTGTTGTGTCCGCTGAAAACTAAAGAAAAAATAAATATTAAAACTCTCTCTTAAAAAAAAAAAAAGCCTGTAAGGAATGTCTTATTATGATCATTCCTGTGTTCTAGAAGAGCAAACTGAGGGCATAAAAAAGTCAAATAGTTTGCCCATGCCTACAAGGATTGTAAGTGGCAGAGCTAGGATTTGAATTGGCTGATTGCCAAGTCCAACCTCTTAATTAACATTGTGCCACCTGTCACTTCATAGGGGTGTGCAGTTATGCCATTCTGAACACTGAGACCCCATGGGATTTTGTCCTAATTTTTGGCTTCTGGGACTTGGTGTGCTGAGAGACACGGCAAGATGACCTGATCTTTGGATGCACAGCAGCCAAGGCATACCATATGCTGTGCACATCTGGAAGCGAAAGGCAGCAGTTAATATGGGGACAGCATCTAGCCCAGAAGGATGCTGCAGTCACTAATCCATGTCCTTGATTATGGAATCTGTGCTTCGCAATGGGTCTTATGGGCAACCAACCCAACCTCCCAACTCACTGGAGCCAATATGTGTCCTATGGAAGTGGGCAGGTAGGTGTGTGTGTGTGGGGGGGGGGGTTGCTTGTTTTTGTTTTCTATCTAGAATGGCTCACTGCTTCTCTAACCTTGGGTTTGAACTATAGTTAAGCAGCTTCTCCCCTCCCACCTCCTCTTTTCCTGCTGGAATGGCATCTGGCATAGTCAGGGCTTGGATGTCCTGCTCCTCAAGAGCATCCTTGCCTCTGCTTAGTGCAACACCAAATTCATCAGCATCCTGACCCTTGGGGTAAACACCCCTGGAATCTTACTTGCATTCCAACCCACTGAGATTAAATCTCTCTGGACAGCATTAATTTTTTTTTTTTAAAAAATGGCTAATTTATTTATTTTTAAGGTATTTTTATAGTCTCTGCAATTTAATTAAAGAATGACTTTCAGGCTGCAAAACTGGTCTCTTGCTAATGAGGTTCTGCGGATCTGTCCTAAAAGGTATAAATCATTTTTTAAAAGATAACTGAATGTCCTGCTGTGACAAATAAATTACCCGAGTGCTTTGACGCAGAGAAAACAGGGGCTGGGAGGGATATTTGCCTGATTCCCTCAGCTCTATTTTTTTCCAGGCCCTGTCCTTGCACAGGGGGTTGGTTGGGCTGAGCAGCCTTCTCTGTCCCCCGCCTTCTTCCAGGAGTGTCACATGGCTGATGAGATAATGTATGTGAAAGCCTTTGTAAACTGCAGGCCAGAGCCGAATGCCAATTATTCCAGTTGTTATTATTCCTCTCGCACTCTGGGGAAACCCTGTTGCCCCCACCACCACCCCTCCCAAAACTACTGGTCAGAACAGCCCAGGGAAACTGACTGCCCCTCCCTCGTGGGTGGAGGCTCCTGGCACAGTCGCCTCCCCTGCTTTGGGGGGAGGGCTTCATGGCTCCCCTCCCCTCCATTGGTAATGGCTTTCCCAGTTCTTCCTGATTTCAGGGGCCTTCCTCCGGAAGGAAATCTCCTCAGTTCCAGTGAAAGTTCTGAAGCGGCTGAAATCATGACTCCTGGGGCTTCTCCTCAGGCCCACCTCCCACTCCCTCCCCTCCCAGGGCCTGCCCTGGAGCCAGGCTGCCCCGGAAGGATCTGACCGGCCACTTCCTAGAATTGTCTTGCTGGAGCTCCTCAATCACCACCCCCCCCCCCCATCACACAGTCTCCCTTCCCCTGAGCCCAGATCCCTCTGGATGTCCCAGCCCCCTCCCCCCACGTCTCACTTCTCAGTCCCCACACTTCCCTCTGTCAGAGCCATTCTCTTTGGGGGCCCTCTGCCACTCCTGGGAGGAGGACTTGGGGCCTGGGAGTCAACATGGCCACCAGGGCCCACAGGAAGTTGGGTAGGCTGTGGTTGCCAGGGCAACCATCTTTCCTTGGGCCTTCCCAGTGTTTTTCATCCTGAGCTTGGCTGGTGAGAAAGGCTTGACCACGGGAGCGCTCTCTCCCAATAAATCAAGTCTGGCCGAGGCCAAAAGGGGTGGGTAGGAAGCACAGAACATCCACAAGAGTCACTGACCAGGAGGGAGAACAATTGACCCTTTCTCCATCCCCAACCACCACTTGTGTACCAGGGAGTAGTGCCTTAGACCCACCTCTGAGCTCCGTGGAGCCCACCCCTACCTCCAGATCAAATTTGGCAAGGACTCCAGGAAGGGGCCTGGGAGGTCAGGGAGAGGCCTGTCTGCACTTGATGGATGATACTGAAGAAATGTCTGGCACTTTCCTTCCCCATGGGGGAGGTGAAGCTGTAGCCACCTCTCCCCCGCATTCCTGCCTGCCTGCCTAGGGAGGAGGTGGGGTGGGTGGCTCAAGCAGGAAAAGCAGGGTCCTTAACCCTTTGGAGAGGCATTTTGCAAACTATCACATTTGTCTACACTGACATGGGAAACGGAGGGGTAGGTGGACAATCCCCAAATCTCGGTGAGTTTAAAAGGGATCCATAGCCGTGCATGGTGGCACATACCTTGTAACCCCAGCTACTTGGGAGGCTGAGGCAAGAGGATTGAAAGTTTGAGGCTGGCCTCAGCAACTTAGCAAGACCCTTCTCAAAACAAAATAAAAAGGACTGGGGATATAGCTCAATAGTACCCCTGGGTTCAATCCCCAGTACTGGAGGCAGGGGGGGAAGGTTTAGGGGTAGAGCTCAGAAGTAGAGTGTCCCTGGGTCAGTTTCCAGTACTACCCAAATCAGTCAATCAATAGGATCCATATGATACCACTTCTTGATTCCCAGGCCTAATTCAACCCATACTAATTATGTCATTCCTGCTGTATACCAGCCATTGGGTAATATAGCATTTCTCAAAGTGTGCTCCACAGATCCTGGGAGTCCCCAAGACTATTTCAGAGGATAGATGAGGTCAATGATTTTCATAATGATACCAATACATTATTTGGCTTTGGATTGTGTTGACATTTGGGTCAACACAAAAGCAGTGAGGGTGAACCCACTGATGCCTTAGATAAATGAAGACAGTGGCTCCAAATTAGTCATTGCATCCTTCACTACCATGTACCAAAAAAGGCCAGTTTCTCTTAAGAATGTCCTTAATAAAGTAGTAAAACATTATTAACATATAATGGGTTTATTATTGTTATCCTGAATGACTCAATCAATAAGCATTCATTTCACTTTCTTCGCTGTGGTTATTTTTATGTCTAATACGACCGATATCAATAAGTATAACCCACATAAACAAAGGTTCTGCACTTCTGCAAAATTCACAGAGGGTTCCGTGGTCTCCTCAAAGCTGCAGGTGACTGCCGGCTTTTTCAGAATCTACATTCCCAGTTGGAGAAACAAGTCTTTTCGAAGCAGAAGGTAGAGAACATGGCTATGTTTTCTGGCAATGCTCTCTCCCTTAAGAAGAGACACTGTCACTGGAATAAAGGTTTTAATGGTCTGTTCACAGGAGAATAAGGCGCACAGGACCACAGCCTCTCCCCATGGCCCCTCTTCACACCTGTGCATTGTGCCCACTGTTGAGTGGAGGGGTGGGTGGTGGCTATGGGTGGGATGGTATTTGTGATCCCTGTGGCTCAGGCCCACATCTGGACCTTCTACCCCCTCCTTTCACTAGAGTCCCTTTTCATATCCCCTATGGTAATTTTAATAAAAGTCACAGTGTAGCAAGGCCGAGGGAGGAGGAGCCCGTTAGGGGAGGCGGAGGGGACATGTGCCTACACCGGTGCCATTTTGTGTGAGTGTGTGATTTGGTCGGTCCTGTGAGCTCTGGGTTCTTCCCTATGCCAGTCGTCTCTCAGAGTCACACCCGGGGTCTCTACTGGGGTCTGGGGGCCTGAGCTGTTCCAGCCACGGCTCTCTCATCCTTCTGCAGTGGTGGGGCTGCTGGGGAGAGGTGGAGACCAGGCATCGGAGGTATGGAAGGACAGCAAGGGGGGCCGGTCAGCCTCTGGTGCTACTCCCCCGCTCCCCCAGGAGCCAGTAGGTCCGGACCTTGCCTTTGCCCTGGAGGAAAAAAAAAATAAAAAATAAAAGGTTGGGGTGGGGAGCAGCACAACTACTGCCCCGAATCAGATAGGAGGCCTAGAAATGGGAGTGGCATTGGCTGCTGGAGAAGGGTACCCCCGCTCCAGGACCCCAGGGACCGTGATGGCAGGGACTTCTTTCTCTACCTTCATTTCCACATCCCCTCGAAGCTCCAGCTCAAAACCATCAAACTCCTCCAGGACAGCCTTGGTCTCAGAAGACAGGTGGATCTTCAGCGCTGAGTAGGACAGGGGAAGGGAGATGGAGTGCGGGGACGGAGGAGGCAGAGGAGACCGGGGACTGGGGTAGACAGATGCCCTCCTCCATCCTTTGGCCCCAAAGCCTCTTAACTCAGAGAAGTCCCACCCTCTCTATGCATGTGTGACTATACTGTGTGACTATATTGGCTCCTTTAGAATTTTAGAGCTGTGCTGCCTAACGTGGTCCCATTAGTCACATGTGCCTGTCTAAATTAACTGAAACGATATACAGCTAAAGATTCAGTGCCTTGCTGGGCTCAGTGGTGCACGCCTGTAATCACAGCCACTTGGGAGCCTGAAGCAGGAGGGTCACAAGTTCAAGGACAGCCTCAGCAATTTAGTGAGACCCTGTGTCAAAATAAAAAATTCAAAGGTCTGGGGATGTAGCTCAGTGGTAAAACACCCCTGGGTTCAATCCCCAGTTCAAGAACAGAACCCAACCAAAGATTCTGTCCCTTGGTTGTATTAGACACACTTCAAGGGATCCATAGCCACATGTGACTAAAGTTCGCAATACTGGACAGTAAAAATTGCAGGACATTTTCATGACTGCAGAAAATAGTATTGGAGCCAGGAGTGGTAGCACATGGCTGCCTATAATCCCAGCAACTCAGGAGGCTGAGGCAGGAGGATCGCAAATTCAAGGCCAGCCTTGACTTTTTTATATACCAGGGATTGAACCCAGGGGTGCTTAATCACTGAGCCACCTCCCCAGTCCTATTTATGTTTTATTTTTTTAAATATATTTTTTAGTTGTCAATGGACCTTTATTTTATTTATGGATACACGGTGCTGAGAATCGAACCCAGTGCCTCACATATGCTAGACAAGTGCTCTGCCACTGAACCACGATCCTAGCCGTTATGTTTTATTTTGAGGCAGTGTCTCACTAAGTTGCTTAGGGCCTTGCTAAATTGCTGAGGCTGGCCTCAAACTTGCAATCCTCCTGCCTCAGCTTCCTGAGCCACTGAGATTACAAGCGTGCTCTACCATGCCTGACTCCTCTGCCTTGACATCTTAGTGAGACCTAAATAAAAATTTTAAAAAATTAAAAGAGCTGGGGACATAGCTCACTGGTAGATCATCCCTGAGTTTGATTCCCTGTACTGCACAAGAAAATACTATTGGAGATTGCAGTTATAGCTCAGTAATAGAGTACTTGCCTGGCATGAGTGAGACACTGGGTTCAATCACCACATAAAAACAAATAAATTAATTAAATAAAGGCATTAAAAAATACAATAACATCTAAAAAAATACTACTGGGCAGTATTGTTACAGAGTATCGTTCAGATCCAGAGGGACAGTGTAGCATAGTGGTTAGAAGCTGTGGATCCTGCTCTGCCTCAGCATGAATCCCTTAGACATTTGCTTGGGTAATTAATATAAACTGTGTCTCATTTTCTAAATCTATGAGATGCTGATAGAGAAAGCACCATCTCAAAGGGATGTGTTCCTGTTGTGAGGATTAAAATTATTCATCTGGGTTGGATCCCCGGCACCATAAATAAATAAATGAATAATTCAAACAAAACGTGGCCCATAGGAAGCTTTATGTAAGTCCTTGCTATCTGTTAGGTGACTCCATCCTCTCATTTTATGGCTGAGGAAATGAGACCCAGGGCAGAAGATCTGCCCCAGCTGCCGAGGAGATCAGTGATGGGCCCACCAGTCCCATACTCTTTCTCTGGCCACTATCTGACCTCATGATACTTCTCCCCGGGTCTGCATCATGTGGCCTCTTGTTAGCCATTTCTGAGAATATGCTCCTTGAGGACCTCAGGGAGAAGCTCTCTCCTACCCCGGAGCCTCAAACACAGGGCCCAGGGAATATCTGCTGAACCAGACCCCACAGGGCTCCCAGGGCTGGACCCTTGGATGGGGTCCACATAGACTCCTCAGCTAAACTCTGGCCTGGCACAGGTATTTATGGCTCAATAAATATTTACTGACTTGAATTGTGTCAAATACAGAAGAAGCTGGATAGCAGAGAAACAGAAAGCAAGATGAAGGGAAAGGGTGAGAGCAAGCATTTATAGATACCTACTGTGTGCCGGAAGCTGTGCTAGGGTTGTTTGGTTTTTGATTTTTTTTTTTTTTTAACAACCCTGAGATACAGATAAGCAGCTGAGTCCCAGCTGAGTCTCGAAAAAGTTGAGTGACATTCATGTGCTAGGCATTTGTACAGCTTCTCACATATTCCTTACGAGGTAGATTTTTTTTGTTTGTTTTTTGGTACCAGAAATTGAATCCAGGGGTGCTTAACCACTGAGCCACATCCCCAGCCCTATTTTATATTTTATTTAGAGACAGGGTCTCACCGAGTTGCTTAACACCTCGTTTTTGCTGAGGCTGGCTTTGAACTCACGATCCTCCTGCCTCAGCCTCCTGAGCCACTGGGATAACAGGTGTGTGCCACTGCGCCCCGCATGAGGTAGATACTTTACCTTCATTTTACAGATCAGGAAAACCAGGACTCAGAGAGGGATAGCACATTGATACAGCTAGCTCTGGAACTGAGAGTTGTCTGCCTTTGCAATCATCTTTACCACACCAAAGATGGAGCAGAGGGCCTTAAAGGTGTGATTCCTGCTAGGCACTGTTGAACACTGACCCAGAAATACTTTTTTTGGTACTGGGGATTGAACCCAGAAGTGCTTTACCGCTGAGCTACGTCCCCAGAACTTTTTATTTTTATTTTTTAATATTTATTTTTTAGTTGTAGTTGAACACAATACCTTTATTTCACTTATTTATTTTTACATGGTGCTGAGGATCGAACCCAGTGCCTCACGCATGCCAGGCAAGCGCGCTACCACTTGAGCCACAACCCCAGCCCCAGAACGTTTTATTTATTATTATTTTTTTTATTTTGAGACAGGGTTTTGCTAAGTGGCTTAGGCTGGCTTTGAATTTGCAAGTCCCCTGCCTCAGCCTTGCACAGGGTGCACCACTATGCTCAGCTGGTCCTTGACTTTTATTATAGTCCAATCTTTTGACTTGTGATCATGTGAAAGCCACATACATTCAATTGTTTGAATTCTGATCTTTTCCTGGGCATATGTGCAGCACATGTCCTCCTGCCCTTGTGGGTGGCAGCAGCACTGGGCCGCAGCTCAGGGTCTGCCACATGACTCCAAAGGTGAAGAGCCTGTGCTCCAGGGTACATTGTGCTGCTAGCATCTTTTGGATATTGCATTTTGTTTTCACATCCCATCATGTCTACAAACACTCGCCTATGTGTGAACATGAGATATTCAATACTTTATTACAACACAGGCTTTGTGTTAGGGAGTCTTGCTGGCTTTGGGCTAATGTAAGTGTTCCGAGAACGTTTACGGTGGGCTACATAAGCCATGATATTCCCACAGGTCAGGTGTGTTACTGTATTTTCAACCTAGGATATTTTCAACTTACAATGTAACCCCATCCTAAGAGGAGAGTCATCTGCATTATGAGAAGGGCATGTGGGAGAAGAAAGGACTAGAAGCCAGAACAGGGACTGCCTAAATTAAGCTGCCACAGTGCGGCCATTCCTTTGGCTACCCGGCCCTCCTCCTCCCCTCTAGGAGGACCACTATACCTTCCCCATTGGACTCCATTCTTGAGGCAGTGTTGACAGTGTCCCCAAAAAGACAGTAACGGGGCATCTTCAGCCCTACAACGCCAGCACACACAGGTCCTAGGAGGGACAAGGGAGGGAACAGAGTCCATCAGCAGTAGCAGGGGTGAGAAGGGAGTTAAGGGAGACTGGTAGGCGCCCCAGGAGAGGCAGGTGGTGGGCTAAGAGGGGAGGAGAGGGAGAGAGGGAGAGGGAAGGGAGGAGAGACGGGGGAGTGGGGACAGGGAGGGGGAGACCGAGATGGGGCCGAGGTGCTGGTCCCAGGGGCGTTCTCCTCGCGGAGCTCCACCTCCAGGAGACCCCTCCGGTCCCTGCTCCGGGCCTCGGCACCTGTGTGGATGCCGATGCGCAAACGCAGCTGCTCCTGGGGCCGGTGGCGGATGCGGAAGGAGCGCACCGCGTCCAGCAGCGCCAGGGCCATGCGGGCCACCTCGCGCGCGTGGAGCCGCCCGTTCCGCACTGGGAGTCCCGACACCACCATGTAGGCGTCGCCGATTGTCTCCACCTGTGGGGCGCGAGACAAGGCCGGGCAGGAGGGCGGGAACTCCCTTCCCCGGCCACCTGCCGGCCACACCCACGCACACCGGCTCCCCGCCCTGCGCTCACCCCGCCCCTCTGCCTGTGGGTGGGTGGGTCCCCGTGGGTCCCCCCCCAGTCACTGCTCGTGTGCCCTGGACTTCTCTTTCATACGCCTGAACCTCACCGTTTTTTGACCCTGTCCACGTCTGTCTGTCCCTTCCCATCCCTACCTTGTACACATCAAAGTTGTCTATAACTGCATCAAAGCAAGTGTACAGGTCATTGAGCAGGGTCACCACCTGGAAGGCACAAGAAGCCACTGGGACTGGAAGGAAGGGTGCTCCCTGGGGTGGGGTGGGAGGAGGGAACCAGAAGGCAGACCTTGGGGACGGAGAAGTGACACCAAGCTGACCCACCTGGTCTGCCACCTGTGACTGCCCCTGGCTTACCTGCATGGGTGTGCTCTCTGCTGACAGGGCGGTGAAGCCCACGATGTCACTGAAGTAGATGGTCACGCTGTCAAAGGCCTCCGCCTGCACTGTCTCCCCGCGTTTCAGCTGCTCAGCCACTGAGCTGAGGGGTCAGGGCAGGTGTAGACCAGAGTGTGAGGTGGGGTCAGGGTCTGAGTGTGTGTGGGGGGGCGGGTCTGAAGAGATGGGCACTCACTGAGGCAGAATCTGGTAGAGCAGGGCCTCTGCCTTGCGCTTCTCCTCCAGGTAGGCCTGCGTGCGCTCCTCCACCAGCTCCTCCAGGTTGTTGGCATACTGCTCCATGCGGGTCAGCAGGTTGTCCAGGATGTTGCTGCTGTTCTCTCTGAGAGGCCAGGGCAGCCGGGTGAGAGCCGAGCTGCACGGGTCTGCCCTGGAGAGCCCTCCCCCCAGGCCCTCCCCCTCCCTAGGCTTACTGTCAGCCCACCTCCAGCTGCAGCAGGTCCCTTGTGAAGGTGAGAATTGGGGCACAGCAGGATAGGGGTGAGCAGGTGAGAAGGATGGGAGGAAAGTTCAATTCATCTCTGAGAACCCAGGGTCAAGAAGGAAGCTTTAGACATTTTGACAGCTTGTTTACCTTCATTGAACATGAGTGAGTTGGAAGGAGGTGGGGTGGGGGCACGGTGGCACACACCTGTGACCCCAGCAACTTGGGAGTTTAACAAGTTCAAGGCCAGCCTTATTATTATTATTGTGGTGGTGGTACTGGGGATTGAACCCAGGGGTGCTCTACCACTGAGCTACATCCCCAGACCTTTTCATTAAGACATGGTCTCAAAGCAGGGTGCATGGCACATACCTGTAATCCCAGTGGAGGGAGGAGGACTGAGTTCAAAGCCAGCCTCAGAAACTTAGCAAGTCCCTAAGCAACTCTAAATAAAATAAGGGGCTGGGGATGTGGCTCAGTGGTTAAGCACCCCTGGGATTCAATCCCGGTACCAAAAAAAAAAGAAAGAAAGAAAAGAACAAAAGAAAAAAGACATGGTCTCCCAGGCTGGTCTTGAATTTAAGGATCCTCTGCCTCAACTTCTTCAGTCACTGGGATTATAGGTGTGTGCTATGGACCCAGCCAGCTTGGGCAATTTAGTGAGACCAAGACTTAAAATGAAAAGGGCTTGGGGCTTGGATTGTGGCTTAGCGATAGCACACTTGCCTAGCATGTGTGAGGCCCTGGGTTCGTTTCTCAGCACCACGTATAAATAAAAAAATAAAGTCCAATTAAAATTAAAAAAAAAATTAAAAGGGGTTGGGGTTGTGGCTCAGTGGTAGCGCACTCGTCTGGCATGTGTGAGGCACTGGGTTTGATTCTCAGCACCACATAAAAACAATTAATTAATTAATTAAAGGTATTATGTCCATCTATAATTTAAAAATATTTAAAAATAAATGAAGAAAATAAAAAGGGCTGGGGTTGTAGTTCAGTAGTAGATAGAGTGTCCCTGGGTTCAATCCCCAGTGCCAAAAAAAAAAGGTGGACAGGGACAAGGATGAGCTAAGGACAAAGTGACAGGCACACAGGCAGCAGACAGGTGTGTCTGGGGATCTCTGAGCTCCACTGGGAAAGGGAGACCATCGGGCTGGGGCAGGAGCTCATGGGGAGGGCTGAGGATATGGGGAGCGAAGGGGAGGCCAAAGCTGTGTGGCCCATTTATTCTGCACACCACTGTGCCCAGTGTGGGAGAGTGGGCAGGGCTTGGGGTGTTGCTGTAGGTGGAAGAAAGGGGTCTGAATGGTAGGGGGCTGAGAGGACAGCCGAGTTGTACAGAGGGCTGAGAGGCTGCGGTGGACTGGGGTGAGCCATGTGTGGCTGGAGTGGCTCCCTCTGTGGCTGCAGATAGACTGAAGTGTGGGGTTGTAGTGTCTGGAGTGGGGAGGGAAGGCGGCCATGACTAACACCAGTGACCTGTTAAACTTGCGGAGTGTCAGGCGGATCTGCTGAAAGGGTGGCCGTTCCTGTGGGTCCTCGGCCCAGCACCGCTGCATCAGCTGCCCCAGTTCCTCCAGGTGGCTCTGCAGGGCCAGGGAGGGCCGGAAGGGGGGCTGCTCACCCCGAGTCACACGCTCAATGATCTCTGTATTGGGTGGGGCAGAGGGGTTAGCCAGGGGCCCAGTGAGAGGCTGGGGCAGCCAGCTGGAGTTGGTTAGGGAAGCCTAGGACCAGCTGGGCTGGCATCAGTGGAACAAAGGGTGGTGGCCGGGCCCCATCTCAGAAGGAAGGGTTAGGGATGCTTCCAAGGGTCCCTCTCCCTGGGGCTGGGGTTAGAGGTAGGGAACATTGTGGCTCTTTCACCTTTGGGACTGAGGTCTAAACCTTCCACATGGAAGACCCCACTCCTCAGGGCAATCTCCTGGAGGATGATCCCAAAGCTGTACACGTCACCAGCCTGGGAGCCCCGAGAAGGGGGCGAAGCCATTCGCAGAAGCTCAGGAGCTGTCCATAACTTTTCTGTGGGTCAGACATTAGGAGTCACGTGGTGAAGGACCCCAAAGCGAAGGGATGAGGGACTTTATAGTCTAGTGGGAAAAGAAAAACTAGCAATGAATATAAGCTTTCATGGCCAAAAAAAAGCAATAATAGAAATAAAGAAGAATATGCAATGATGCTGGGAAAGAGAGCTTCCGGTGGGGGAGGGGTGGAGGAAAGCTGTGAACCAGCTTGTGGCTGGGACTGGTCTGAACAGCACACTGTGTTTAGAACGGGAAGAGCTCTGTCTTCCCCTTTTTGCTAATGAGAACTGACTTTGGATTCAGTAGAGGCATGCCCGAGCCAGGCAGATCCCAGGCCACAGTCTCCCTACTAAGCTATCCTGGTGGTGCTTGTCGGGTAGGGGGGTTGAGGGTTAAGAGTTGGGCTCACTGGCATAAAGGATGTGTCCTTGCTCTGGCTCCGGGTCCCTGAAGCTCTCCAGCCCATAGTCGGTGATCTTAAGCACAAAGCGCCCATCTACCACACAGTTGGATGACTTGAGGTTCCCATGGGAGCAAATGGCCCCATTGTGTAGAAACAGCATTCCCTGGGAAATTTGGGGAGGCAGAGGTCTTGGGCATGAGGGGACCTACAACCAGGGCCAGGGGAGAAGCATACTCATTCCTCATCCCAACCCTCAACACCCAGTGGCCCCTCTGGGCTTACCTTGACAATGTCATTGGTGAGTGAGTACCGGAACATCCAGTCCAGGGTGATGCTCTCATTCTCCAGAATGTCCTGCTGGGGAGAGTCAGACCTGTACCCCACAGACCTCCATAGGGGTGGGAGGAGGAGGCAAGGGTCCTACTGACCACACTGGATTTACTCTAGCTGCATTCCCCCCATTCCCATTTTACAGATGGGGCCACTAAAGGCCAAAAAGAGGGAGGCTTGCTAGGCTCCTGTGGCCAGTCAGGGACAGAGCCAGGGCTAGAACCCAGATTTCCGGATTTTTTTTTTTTTCCCAGTGGTACCAGGAATTGAACCCAAGGGTGTTTCTATTACTAAGCCACATCCCCAGCCATTTTCATTTTGAGACAGGGTCTTGCTAAGTTGAGCTTGCAACCCTCCTGTCTCAGCCTCACAAAGTAGCGGGGATTACAGGCATGCCCAGCCATGCCCAGCTTGGAACCCAGGTTCACTAACACTCCCTTGTCCCCTCACCTGCAGGCTCCCTCTGGGACAGTACTCTGTGAGGATACAGATGTTGGGGGGGTCAGTGCAGGCACCCACAAACCTGGTCAGGTGTTCATTCTGTACATCCCGCATCTGCAGGTGAGAAGCAGCATCAGGAGCATCACAGAGACCTCACTCCTCACCAGATTGCTCTCTGGCCTCAGGGACCCTCCCCCTTAACTCCCTATTCATTGTTTGCAAACCTGTCCACTGGGCCCTTCTCCCCCACAATCTGCTTCCTACACCCTCTGCCTCCTTGCCTTTTATTCCCCAGGTCACCATGTAAGGTCCCTCAAGGGTCTTCCTCCAGGGTATCTCCAGAGATCTCATCTCTCTTCTCATGATGGGTCCCCTAATCCCATCCCCAGGATGCAAGGGCCCATCCCAGGTCCACAGACCCTAGCTTTCCTAGGACACTCTGAAAACCAAAACCTCCACAGACAGCTCAGTTGGCCATCTCCCGGCAGGGGACTCTTCCCCAGGCCACCGCCTCACACCCCCACATTACATGCTTCAGTTCAAACAGGACGTTTCTTGTCAGCTCAATGCGTTTACGATTCACATGTTTCACAGCCACCAGGTTGCCCTGAGAAAGGAATGGAGACTGTCACTGTGTGGAGCATGACCTGGTGCCCTGGCACCTCCACCTGCTCCCGACAGCTCACGCCGCCCTCCAAGACCCCCAGCTGCTCCCAATGGCACCCCACTCCCCTGAGGATCTCCAACTGCCCCTTGACAGCCCACCCTGGCACCCTCTGCCACAGAGCACACTTCCACAGTACCCAGGACCAGAAGTCTCCCCAGGCCCACCTTGTAGTACGCTGTCTTGGCAAACACCTGGAACTGGCCCTCTGTGGTTATCAGGGAGCCGTAATTGGAGCCTCTCTGAAGGGGTGAAGAACAGGGGTTCAGCCTAGAGGCCCGGATGCCCCTGGGTGCTTGTGCTCTGGTCTTTCCTACCCTTCCTTAGCTTTGTGTCACCCTCCTTGATGTTCCACATCATGAAACCTCCCCTCGCTTACTGGTTTTATGTTTGTGTTGTCCCATATGCTGCCTCCTTTGATCTTTCCAAGAGCCCCTGGAGGGAGGCTCTAGAGATGCAATCACCATGAGCCCAGTTCAGAGAGGCAATGGCCTTGCTCAAGGTCATGAAGCAAAGGAAGGCAGAGGTGGGCGTGGAGCCCTGTTTTCTACCCTACTGCTCTTGGTACCCAGGTCCCCCTCGTGAACACCAGTGACACCCCCAGCCCCCTCAGACACCAGCATTCTCACCCCGCTCAAGGTCAGCCGGCTGCCCGCGCTTCGGAGGTGCCTCTCCAGGCTGCTGGGCTGCAGGTCCTCCCAGCGCACTCGCCACAGCTCGGAGGCCAGCTCCTTCTCCAGCTGCATCTTCCTGGGGTGTGAAACCTACACCTGAGCTCATGTATGATCCCCCGACCTGGTCGGGAGTGGTCAGGAGTCCCTCCTCAGAGCCCCGAGACTACTTCAAGTATTAAGAGGTGAATGAGGGAATTCTATCTCCCAGGCTGAGGGTCAGAGCCTGGTGACATTCTACCTTAAATGGGGACATTGGGGTAGTCACAGTCAATGTCCTTTTACACACACGGTATTAAACCCAGGGATGCTCTACCACTGAGCCACATCCCGATCCCTTTTCATTTTTTATCTTGAGACAGGGTCTCAATACATGGCCCCAGGTTGGCCTAAAATTTGCAGTCCTCCTGTCTGAGCCTTCTGAGTTGCTGGGATTACAGGCATGCACCCCGACACCTGGCTTCATTCTTAACTGTTACAAGAATAAAAAGAAACATTGTGTGTGGAAGTGCCTGACACGTGGTCTACTACGCTCAATCAGCATTGATTGTCCTCCCTCCCTTCTCTCCTGTGCCCTGGATTTCCATTTCAGCCTCACTGGAAGGCAGGAGTGGGGCTCATTCATCTCTCTTATCCACTCGAGGTCCACCACTGGTCACAGCAGGGCTCATTAACAGGGCCCAGTCCCCAGAGCAAGGAAAACCAGTTCCATGCCAGGAGCCACTCTGGTATGACATCACTTCTCAATCTATCTGCTCCTTCTTGCATCTCCTTGACCTTCTCTGGCCACTTCTATCCCTGTCCCCTCTTTCCTCTCACTCCATTCTCTGTTTTCTTCTCTGTGTCCTAAGGCTATTTATTATTTATTGTGATACTGAGGATTAAACATAGGCTCTCTCACAAGCTAGGTAGATGCTCTACCACTGAACTACATTCCTAATCTTTAAAAAAAATTAACTATTATTATTGTTATTATGGTACCAGAAATTGAACCCTGGGGCACTTAACCACTGAGCCACATCCCCATCCCTTTTTATTTTTTTATTTTGAGACAGGGCCTTGCTAAGCTGCTGAGGCTGGCTTTGAACTTGCCATCCTCCTGCCTCAGCCTCCCCAGTTGCTGGGATTACAGGCATGTGCCACTGAGCCCAGCTTTTTTTCCCCCTAAATTTTGGCACAGGGTCTCCCTAAATTGTTGGGCTGACCTCAAACTTGTGATCCTCCTGCTTCAGTTTCCAGAGTCCCCGGGATTATAGTTATGGCCACTGCACTGTGGCATTTTAAGGCTTTTCGTTTCTTTTCTCCCTCTCTCCTTCTGCCTTCCCCCGCTGTCCCTTCACCCCTCCCCTCCCCCCTTGTCCCTACACCTCCCTCTCCAAGTCTCCCCATGTCACCGCCCCCCCGCCCCGGGCCACGGCTGGGCTCACCTGTATACAAAGAAGGAGACGATCAGGATGCTAAGCAGGGCGAGGCTGCCTACCAAGGCCAGGAGCTCCAGGGTGGACAAGTGGTCTGCGGGAGAGAGTCAAGTGTGGCAAGTGATCTGGGCTCTACGGAGGAGGAAGGGCCTTCCCTTCATCATGGTCAACAGCGGTGGATGAAGGGAAGCAAAAGGCAGGAGGAGGCTCTGAATCCAGAAAAGGGTGGGAGAGGAGCACCCACTTGATTCCCCTTGGGAGGAGGCAGTGTCTCCAGATCAGCAGCCCGCAGAGCAAGGGCCAGTCACCTTGGTTGCAGGATGGGTCCTCGTTGTCAAAGCCACATTTAGGGATGTCAGGAGGAGGGTACCCCAGGGGCCAGTATAGTTCGCACCCTGACACAGCCACCAGCTCTTGGGAAGTCCCATTGTAGTTCAGTACAACCTAAGGGAGAGCAGGAATGGTCAAGGGCCTGGCATGTGGCCTCCTGTCCAGTGACACAGTCCTGCTTCCCACCTCCTCATCAATACTTCCAGGGCCTGTATCTGGGTCACCAAGCCCCTGCTGTGACTGCCTACAGGGAGACCTCATACTTGTTCCCATGGAATTAAGGGGCAAACATTTGAAAATGACTCAAGGGCTTTATAAAGAAAGCTGCATATAGAACCCCACGCCTACACGCAAGGACTTTATAGCCTCGATTAAAGCACAGAAACAGGGAAAGGTAGCATCCATCTCAACCCACATTCCCAAGCCTCCTCAGTGCATTTCTCTTCCAGGAAGCCTTCCTGGATTTGATCCTTGGTGCCTCTGGCCTCAATCCCTGCCAGTATCTACTGAGTTTACTGAGCTGTGAGCTGTGCGTATGCATTCCTGTTGGCTCAGAGTCGACCTGACTGCTGCGAGGAGTCTTGCTTTCCTTAAGAACTCCTCAAGGAAAGGGCTGTGCTCCCTCCTTAGACATGGGGTTCCCCATGCGAATCCCTATCATTCTGGTTGCTCCCCCAGAATGGAACGGGGCCTGTTTTGTCCAGGGCTTTCATAGATGTCCAGGCAGGGTAGGGTGATCACAGAATAAACAGATGCCCGGGCAGGGCTGTGGGGGAGGGCAGGAGGGTGAGATGTCATCCTGAGTAGACACACAGTGGTCTTCTGAGTGTGCACACGTACCCTGAAGGCACCGGTCTCAGGGTCCATATCCCAGAGGGAGAAGTCAGTCTCACGATCTCCATTGCTATCAATTTTCAGGTATCCTGTCACACCTGTGGGCCGGGGCAACATAGCTGTGTTGTGAGAAAATTCCCGTGCAGGGAGGTCCCACTTCCATGTCTCCATCTCCTGATCTTCAAACATACGTAGGCACAGAAGAAGAGCCAACAGGACAGCTGCGTTGGCAGCAGGAAGGACTGAGATGGGACACGTGGGAGGACTGGATGGATCTGGGGGATGAGGGAAGGAGAGCCTGAAAGAAGCTGTGGAGGTTCTTATAAAAGAAAGGGAAAGACTGGTAATGGGCAAATGGCTACCTGAGTTGCAGGGCTACAGGCTGGGGCACATGGTACTCACCCCCCCTTCCCTAAAAAGCCCTTTCCAGTCACTCCCAGGCCCTGACCTGGGAAGCTTCGGTTCCACATCCTCTGAGTGATGGTCTCCCCATTGGCGACAGTTCCCCCGTGTGCTAGCGTCTCTGTCACTGCCTGGACATAGAGCAGAAGCCCATCATGGAAGGATGCAGGGATGAGGTTCTCCTGCAGGGACAGAGAGAAGTCAGCTGGGGGAAAAGGGGATGGATGGGGGGTACAGCGCAGGGTGCCATGGTGAGAGGACAGGAGGCACTGGGAGCCCAGACAGGATACATAAAATACACCCACAGTATGGGACTGGGCAGACAGGACAGGGTTGGTCAACCCCATTTTACTGATGAGGACCTGAGGTTTAGGGGTTGAACTTGTCACTGTCACCTCTATCATCCAGAGAGATAAGGAGTCAATGGGAAGGGAGGGAAGGGGGAGACCCGGAAACACTGAGATGTGTGAAAGAACACACATCTGGAGGAGAGTCTGGAGGAGAGCCATGAAGCAAAGTCTGGAGGTCCGCACTAGAAGGTTCCAGGACCCCCTCCTACCAGGCCATCTTCCATGGTGAAGTTGAACTGCTCACGGGCCAAGACTTTGAGCTGCTTCAGGAATTCCAAGTACTCAGGAGTATCCGGTTCTTTATATGTAATGATTTTGGCAGCCTGAGGAAGGGGTCAGAGAGTGAGCTAGGAGCTGATTCTTGTTCTCCCAGTACCCTTGGCACCAGTTGTCAGGGAGCCAACCTCACAGGCCAGCCTCTCTGCTAAGGTCAAGGTCAAATTATACCCTATTTCCTGCAAGAAGTGGTCCCTGCTCTTGAGCAAGGGACTGGAGTCTTCGCCCAGCGGGTGGAACTTCAATGTACTCCCTCTTCGAGCCCCATTGTCTTATCTTTTTAGCCTTCTGGCTCTGAAGTCCCTCATGAGCACCAAGAACACCTTTTTTTTTTCCCCCTCCTTTCAGATACTTAGGGACACAGTATCCAGAAACCAAGTGTCAACAGCTCAGTCCCTCAGCATGGGCAAACCCTGGCACTCACCTGAAAGGCCAGGCGGGCACTGACATCCCGCCCGTCTCCTCTCTCCCAGGGCCTGCGGGGAGCAGGGCCCTGTGCCCCTTGTAGGCTTTGCCCGAAGACATCCAGGTGGAAGAAAACATAGTCTTCCCCACTGAGGCCAGCGTCCAGGGCCAGGAGCATGAGGGTTCTGAAGGCATCTGGGGAGCTGCAGATGTAGACGACTGGAAGGAAAGGAGGAGTCGGCCAGGGAAAGGAAAGGGCAGGGAAGCCGGGGCTCTCGGGGAGGACGAGGGGACCTGGTGGCGGTTAAATGGCACTGGCTCAGTTTAGGCAGTGGCAGGAGAAAGTTGAAAAAGGGTGGGAGGAGGAGGTGTGGAGGGCGGAGAAGAAAGGAGCAGAGCTAGGCAGAGCGGGAAAGGAGAACCGAGGCGGGGGCAGGTGGGGCAGGAGGGGAGGAGGCAGAGAGGGGCCAGCTGTAGAGGGATGGGTGAGAGGGTGTGTGGGAGCCATGGGAGGAAAGGATGGAGGAGGGGAGAGGGCAGTAAGAAAGAGAGGAAGACGGGAGGGAAAAAAGGGACAGGACCTACCAGGTAGAAGGAGAGCAGGCACTTTTCCCCTGGGCAGTCAGGGAAATAGGGGGAGGTGATAGAGTAGGAACGTAAAAGGGGAGGGGGGCGCAGGGAAAGAGAGGGAAGTAGAAACCCAGAAGTTGGGGAGCGGGGGAGGCTGAGACAGGAATGAAGAGCTTGGAGAAGAGAAAAGACTGGCCCAGAGCGGAAGGGAGAGGAAGGCCAGCGCCCTGCACGCTGTCAAAGGTCAAAGGCGTCAGGACGAGGTGGAGAAATGGGGGTGGGGGCCTCTCTCACCTCGGCCTTTGCGCCGAACGGTCCGCAGCAGCTTGGTGTAGTGGTCGTGGTCGCCCTCGGCGAACTCCAGGTGGTCCACTGTGATGTTGAGGCGGTCGCGGACCCGCATGTACAGCCCCTCCACCACGAAGAAGCAGGGCTGGTCGTCGCCGGGCCGGTAGGCGTAGAGCACCAGCGCCCGGCGCTCCCAGCCCAGCCGTCGATGCAGCGCCGCCACGAAGTCGCCCAGCTTGGCGTGGCTGGGTCCTGCGCGGGTGGTCAACGCGTACTCGTCTTTAGCCCCGAAGCCTAGCGCCGGAGCGCCGGCGGTCAGCAGGGGCACCCGCCAGTGCGCGGTGAAGCGCCCCACCGGAGCGGCCGCGTACACGCAGCCGGGGCCCAGGAACACGGCGGGGTTGTGCTCCCACTTGAGGTCCACTGCGGCCAGGGGCGCAGCCGTGTCGGAGCAGGCTCCCAGCGCATTCTCGCTGCTGCCTAGCACCGTGCGGACTGTCCAGCCTGGCAGCAAGTCGGGCTGCGCTTTCACCCGGGTCAGAGCCAGCTCCACCGCGGGCCCCACGCGCGCCCACGACCACGGGTACGAGGTGTTGGCCAGCGGCAACACCACGGCCACGGTCAGGTTGCCCGCGTGGCAGCCCTGGAGCAGCAGCAGCAGCAGCAGCAGCAGCGGTAGCAGGAGCAGAAGCAAGCGCTGGCCGGCGCCGGCCGGGCTCTGGCTCGCCGGCATGGCCTCAGTGGGTACCGCGGCGGGCAAGCGCTCCCACCATGGTCTCCTGGGCTCAGCGGCGGGTCCCGGGCATCAGGCGCGCCTCTGCGAGAAGGAGCAGGGCGAGTCCGGGCGCTTCCCGCTGAAGCTGCGATAGTGACAGGCGAGAGCGCCAGGGGCTGGGCGCGCCACCGGGGGTGCGCAGAGCGAGACTTGGAGCAGGTGGGAGCGAAAGAGACCGCCCGAGTGGGAGTGAGCGAGGTGTGTTAGGAAGGGAGAGAGAGAAAGCGGGAGCAGGCGCTGGGGAGACGGGTGAGCGCGCGAGGGAGGGACGGGGAGTGTGCGTTCGAGGCGTGCCAGAGGGGCGTCTGGCCGGCCCAAGTCTCCGGCTGTCCAGGGGGAACCGGCCAGGACCCGAGCCAAGCTCTGAACCCTCCCCCGCGGCCGTCTCCCCTCCCAGACTTGGTGACATTAGAGCCCGAAGAGCCAATCCTAGATCTCTAGCTCCTTCCTCCCAGCCCGAGGTCTGCGGCTCGCCCCCGCCCCGGGCTGGCGCCCTTTCCGCAAAGACCCTCTTTCCGCTGCTCTGCAGCCGGACGTCTTCCTCCTGAAGGGCAGCACCCGCCGACCGGCGCCCTCGCCGGGACAGGGAGGAGCTCGGGAGAGTCCGGTGTGGAGGGAGCCAGGGGCCGCCGGCTCCCCACCTAGTCCCGCCCTCCTACCTGCTTCCCTCCGGGGAAGAGGGAACCTAGTGTCGCCTCGGGATCTCGGCGGGGAAGGCGTGTTGGGACGTGGGTATTTGGGAATGGGGCCGGAGAGCGACGGGTTCTGAAAAAAGGGGCTGAAGACTGAGCCCGAGTCCGTTTTACCCAGTCCACCTGATTTCCCTTCCCGTCCCTCCGCACAGCCGCCCAGAACCTGCAGATTAGCAACGAAGACGGACCCGGTGGGAGGGAGGCGTTAACTCCTCAGTTCCCAAGTGGTAGTGGGAAGGTGGGAAGAGCAGGTGGTGGACTGGGGACTGGGCCGGGGGAGGGGCGAGGAGCGTCAACCTCAGGGCCACTTATACAATGTAGGTCTATGTTGGGAGGACTGCTTAAAGGGGTCCGTGGTGGCAGTGCGAAATGATGTTGGAAATGACCTCTGGAGGTGTAAATTGAAGAAGAGGGTTTGGGGGCACTTGACCGCTGGGCCCCCTGGCCCAGAGGGCTGTGGAATCAGTCTGCCCTCTAATGTTCTTAAGGAGTCATTGACGGTATTGCTCCGCCAGCCTCTTCAGAACCTGGAACCTAATAAGCAGGACCTAAGATAAGCAATCTTCTGTTAAGCAAATAATACAATATACATTAACCACTGCAACCGAGGCATGAGTGAATTGCTAAATTAGGGCCTAGATAAGGGCTATTAATTCTGCCTGGATTGGGGCCAGGAAAATCTCCAAAGAGAAATGATTCAACAAGGGTAGAAAAATGAGAAAGGTATTTTGTGTAGAGAGAACACAGTGTTTTTTTTTTTATTTGTTCTTTTTAGACATACATAACAGTAGAGTGTATCTTAACCTAGTATACATACATGTAAAATAAGTTATTCTAATTAGGATCCGATTCTTGTGGTTATACATGATGGGAAGTTACACCAGTTGTGTCAGATTCATTTTACTGTCTTTCCTGTTCCTATCTCTTCTCCCTTATCTTCATTCCCTTTTATCTAACACAATGAACTTCTATTCTTCCCTCCCGTACCCTTATTGTGTATTAGCGTCCACATATCAGAGGGAACATTTGGTCTGTGGTTTGTGGGGATTGGCTTATTTCACTTAGCACGACAGTCTCCAGTTCCGTCCATTTACCACCAAATGCCATAATTTCATTCTTCTCTCTGGCTGAGTAATATTCTATTATGTATGTATGTATACCACATTCTCTTTATCCATTCATCTGTTTCAGGGCCCCTAGGTTGGTTCCATAATTTAGCTATTGTAAATTGAGCTGCTATAAACATTGATGTGGCTGCACCACTATAGTATGCTGATTTTAAGTCCTTTGGGTATAGACTGAGGAGTGGAATAACTGTGTCAAATGGTGGTTACATTCCAAGTTTTCTGAGCAATCTCATTCTGCTTTTCAGAGTGGTTGCACCAGTTTGCAGTCCCACTAGCAATGTTGGGTGTACCTTTTCCCCCACATCCTCACCAACACTTGTTGTTACGTGGATTCTTGTTAATTGCCATTCTGACTGGAGTGAGATGGAATCTTAGTATAGTTTTAATTTGCATTTCTCCAATTGCTAGAGATGCTGAATATTTTTTCATACATTTGTTGACCAATCAGATTTCTTCTGTGAAGTGTCTGTTCAGTTCCTTTGCCCATTTATTGATTGGCTTATTTGATTTTTTAAATATTTATTCTTTATTTTTTTCATTTTTTTTAGTTGTAGATGGACACAATACCTTTATTTATTTATTTATTTTTATGTGGTGCTGAGGATCAAACCCAGTGCCTTTCATGCAAGAGGAAGGAGCTCTGCCACTGAGCCATAATCCCAGCCCCTAAATATTTATTTTTTAGTTGTAGTTGGATACAATACATTTATTTTATTTACTTATTTTCATGTGGTGCTGAGGATTGAATCCAGGGCCTTGAACATGCCACAACCCAGTCCCTTATTTTTTTATTTATTTATTTTTTTAAAGTTCTTTATATATCCTGAAGATTAATGCTCTATCTGAGGTGCAGGTGGCAAAGATTTACTCCCATTCACATTCTTGACTGTTTCCTTTGTTGGGAAGAAGCTTTTTAGTTTGATACCATCTCATTTATTGATTCTTGATTTTACTTCTTGTGCTTTAGGAGTCTTGGGTGGAAGTTGGTTCCTAGGCTGACATGTTGGGTGTGCATTCTCTTCTGTTAGACGCATGGTCTCTGGTCTAATGTCTAGTCCTTGATCCAATTTGAGAATTGAGTTTTGTGCAGGGTGAGAGATAAGGGTTCAATTTCATTCTGCTACATATGGATTTCCAATTTTCCCAGCACCACTTGTTGAAGAAGATATCTTTTCTCCAGTGCATGTTAATGGCATCTTTGTCTAGTATGAGGTAGCTATTTAATGTGGGCTTGTCTCTGTGTCTTCTATTATGTTCCTTTGGTCTCTTTTTGTTACTATAGCTCTGTAATATAATTTAAGGTCTGGTATTGTGGTGCCTCTTGCTTCACTTCTTTTTTAAAGTATTTTTTTTTTAGTTGTAGTTGGACACAATACCTTTATTTTATTTATTTATTTTTATGTGGTGCTGAGGATTGAACCTAGTGCCTCGTGCGTGCTAGGTGAGTGCTCTACCGCTGAGCCACAACTCCAGCCGCCCCCCTTCACTTTTCTTGATAGGGATTGCTTTAGCTATTCTGGGTCTCTTATTTTTCCAAACGAATTTCATAATTACTTTTCCGATTTTTACAAAGAACGTCTTTGGAATTTTCATAGGAATTGCATTACAATTGTATAGTGGTTTTGGTAGTATGGCCATTTTGACTATATTAATTCTCGTGTCTAAGAATATGGGAGATCTTTCCAGCTTCTAAGGTCTTCTTCAATTTCTTTCTTTAGTGTTCTGTAGTTTTTATTATTTATTTATTTATTTATTTAAAGAGAGAGAGAGAGAGAGAATTTTTTAATATTTATTTTTTAGTTTTTGTCGGACACAACATCTTTGTTTGTATGTGGTGCTGAGGATCGAACCCGGGCTGCACGCATGCCAGGCAAGCGCGCTACCGCTTGAGCCACATCCCCAGCCCCTGTAGTTTTTATTTTTGAGAGGTCTTTCACCTTTTTTTTTAAATCAAGTTTTTTTAAAACCAAGGTTTTTTTTTTTTTTTTTTTTTTTTGAGGCTATTGTGAATGGAATAGTTTTCCTAATTTTTCTTTCAGTTGATTCACCTTTGATATATAGAAACAAAATTGAGTTATGGATGTTAATTTCATATCCTGCTTCTTTGCTGAATTCATTAATGAGAGAACATAGTATTGAAGTATATTTCCTATACAGGCAGTTTTGGGAGACATATGAATTTTCTTGTTGTCTATAGTTAGTGGCCAAGAGGTAAATATGCTTTGTTTGGCTTGCATGAATCCAAAGTCTTGCACAGTGCTTTAACACTGAGCTACATCCCCAGCCCTTTTTATTTTATTTTCAGACAGCCTTACTAAGTTGTGGGAGGCTAGCCTCAACTTGCTATCCTCAGGCTTCCAAGTAGTTGAGATTACAGGGGTGGGCCACAACATCCAACTATGTTCTTTCTATATTTCATTAAATTGCCCATATTTAAAAATCAACAGATGGTACATGAATATTGGGATTTCTGACTTTTATTGAAACATTAGAAGAGCTGGTAAATAGGCCCCTCAATGGACAATCAGATGGAGCAAGAATCTGTGACCTCGTAGAATTGACTAGTTCATTACGGTTCTGTCTTACTCAGCTTTTTCCACTGCTGTGACTAAAAGATCATTGTATTTGCGGGGCACAGTTTCAGAGGTCTTAGTCCACAGAAAATCAGCTCCATTCCTTGGGGTTCCAGGTGAGTAAGAACATCATAGCAGAAGAGTGTGGCAGAGGGAAGCAGCTCCTATGATGATCAAGAAGCAGAGAGAGGGGCTGGGGCTGGGGCTCAGTGGTAGAGCACCTGCCTGGCACATGTGAAGCACTGGGTTCCATCCTCAGCATCACATAAAAAATAAATAAAGATATTGTGTCCATCTACAATGAAGGAGGAGGAGGAGGAGGAGGAGGAGGAGGAGGAGGAGGAGGAGGAGAAAGACAGACACATACACAAACACACACTCCACCCTCCAGATACAAAATATAAGCTGGGCATGGTGGCCCTCACCTGTAATCCCCAGCAGCTGGGGAAGCTGAGGCAGGAGGATCGAGAGTTCAAAGCCAGCCTCAACAACAGCAAGATGTTGAGGAACTCAGTGAGACCCTGTCTCTAAATAAAATATAAAATAGGGCTGGGGATGTGGCTCAGTGGTTGAGTGCCCCTGAGTTCAATCCCTGGTTACCCCAAAAAAGAAAAACAAACAAACAAAAACAACAAACTATATACCCCATAGCCATGCCCCCAATGTCCCACCTCCTCCAGCCACACCCTACCAGCTTCAGTTACCAGTCAGTTAATCCCTATCAGGGGATTAATTCACTGTTGGGTTAAGTCTCTCATAACCCAATCATTTCTTCTCTGAACCTTCTTGCATTGTCTCACACATGAGCTTTTTGGGGACTCCTCATGTCCAAACCATAACAGGTTCCTACCCAATGTGCTTTACTCAAGAGCATTACCTGCCTGGCTGCAGTGGGAGCTTATTTTCAACTCTGATCTGAGATGTAAGGGGTGTGCATTAGGGATGACTGAGGAGGAGAGGCAGGAAAGAGGGCAGAGGGGACACATCAGGAAAGCCTTTGTGTGATAGGCATGTCTTTGTCCTGCGGTGGGGAGGGGAGAGGCCAGACGTTGTAGAGGTGGATAGGAGATGGGGAAATGTTTTGTGGTATCACATGGACTTTGCGAAGTGAAGGGTTGAGGTGACATTGACACTTTGGTTGAGGAACTGAAGAAGGAGTTTTTTGGGGGGAGACTGATAATTTTAGTTTGAGTTTGAGGTGTCTATAGGTACCCTAGTAGAAGTGTTCACTAGGCTTCTGAATTAGTGGGAATGGAGCTCAGAAATAATGACTGAACTAGAAATACAGTTTAGTAATCAAACTCTCAATAATGGAGTAACTCCAGTAGCAGAGAACTAAAAACTGTTTTAAAAAATATTTTTTTCTGTGTGCTGCTACAGATTGAAGAATCCTGAGCTTCAAGAATGTTCTACCACTGAGCCATAGCCCCAGCCCTATTTTGTATCTTATTTAGAGACAGGGTCTCACTGAGTTGCTTAGCACCTCTTTTTTGCTGAGGCTGGCTTTCAATTTGTGAACCTAGACCCCAAATATTTTAAAACAACAGTTAAGAATTGTGTGGTGGTGCAGGCCTATAATCACAGTGACTCAGGAGGCTGAGGCAGGAGGATTGCAAATTTAAGGGCCGCTTCAGCAAATTAGCAAGGCCCTAAGCAACTTAGTGTGAGACCCTGTCTCAAAATAAAAAAAAAAAAATTAAAAGGGGCGAGGGATGTGATTCAGTGGTATAGTGCCTCTGGGTTCAATCCTGTGTACAAAAAAAAAAAAAAAAAATGTGGATAAAAAGATTAAAAACATAAGAGGCTAGGTGCAATGGCATTTGTCTGTAATCCCAATGATTTGGGAGGCTGAGGCAGGAGGATTGCAAGTTCATAGACCAGCATCAGCAATGAGGCTCTGTCTTAAAAATAACAAATAAAATGGGCTGGGGATGTGGCTCAGTGGTAAAACATCTCTGGGTTCAATTTCTGGTACAAAGCAAACAACAAAAAAACCAAAACCCATAAAAGATAGGCAAGAACTGGGTGGGGTGGTGCACATCTGTAATCTCAGCAAGTTAAGAGGCTGAGGCAGGAGGATCACAAATTCCAGGTCAATTCCGGGCAATTGCCAGACCCTGTCTCAAAATAAAAAGGGCTGGTGATGTAGCTCAGTGGTAGAGCACCCCTGGGTTCAATTCCCAGAACCACAAGAAAAAAAAAATCAAACATACAAAAAAAAAAAAAAGTGAAATAAAGTCATATTTAGACAAACTAAAACAATGGATGTTAGTCACTAGAAGTGGGAAACTAAATTTTCAAGGGGACTATTATTCCAGATGGTAGGCTGGAGATGCAGGAAGGAAGAAATAAAGAGCATTAAAATGATTAGTCTAAATGGCCACTAAATTAATAAACGTTGCTGTTTTGTGGAATTCAAGTGTACATATGTATATAATTTGAATTCTGTATACATATACACCTACACCCACACCTACACGAGGAAAATGAATGCACCCAATCACAAGAAACATGTACAAGAATGTTAACAACACAGACGGGTGTATGTGTGCCTCAGTGAGTTAGAGGCCCTGAATTCATCAAGAAGATAATGGATAGAAAACTGGTTATGTTACTATATGTTACTATACAAAACACACGACTCATAAATACAGAATAGCTGGCCTGGGGATGTGGCTCTGGGGCAGACTGCTTGCCTGACGTCTGCTGGGCCCAGGGCTCAATTCCCAACATGGGGGGGGTGGTGGGGATGAAAGAGCAGATTGCTGATGAATGTAGAAAAATGGAAGAATCACAAAGTCAGATGAGCCAAAGGAGCCAGACCTAGAAGAAGGAGAGAAAGTACATATGGTGTGAGTCTGTTTATGTGATGATCAAAAACAGACAAAGCTGATGTATGATAATGGAAATCAGAACAGCTGTTTCCGCAGTGCAGGAATGAGTTGATGGACGTGTTCTTTATTTCTCATCGGGCGGTGATTCTATGGCTGGAGTCATTTACCCTTCAGATCTATGCACTCCGTCGTAGTAAAGGATAAGGAATCACAGCAACTATAGAATCTAAGTCGGGAGGAGTAATGGAGGTAAATGGAATACAATTATTCCTGCATTTTCCACAGGGGGGTGAGGCTGGGCTTCTCCGCTCGCCACTGCTCCGGCTCCTGTGCTCGGGCATCTCGATTTGCCTCCCAGGCTCCTGCCTTAGGTCTCTACACCAGCTGTTCATTGCTGTCTAAAGTCTCTTTCTACTTCCCTCCACGTTGTTTGTCGGTGGCAAAAACAGCTCCTAAAAATTTAATTTTGAGGAAGAAAGAAAGAAACTAGAATAATTTAGCTCTACAGAAGAAATGTAAATTACCTGCTCTAGAAAGAGATAGAAAAAGAAAACAAAACATTGCACTCCGATAGCAGAGGATGGTTTCGATCCATCGACCTCTGGGTTATGGGCCCAGCACGCTTCCGCTGCGCCACTCTGCTACCTGCTACAGAGTTTTCTCACAATGTCTATACAAAGTTCTCTCCGTGTTCGCCGTCCTGGAAATTTTTTTTCCTAGAGCCATCTAGTGTCCAGTCGAAAACTGTCACTACTGTTAAACCTATTTTTATTGGCTCGTTCCTGATACAGTAGGCGTTTTTTATTTGTTCCTAAGCCTGATTCGCCAAAGTAAGCCAATGAGCATGAAGGGCGGAGTAATGAGGGAGCCAATCGCGCCGAGTTTTATTGGGACGCGCCGGCAAGACGCCTCTCCGGTTACCCGCGCCTCGGAAAAAAGGGGCGGTTGGTGGGGCCTCCATTGTCCAGGATTAAGGGAGCCATGAGGTAAGGGGATCTAGGTGCTCAAGGTGTTTCCCTGAGAACTTAGGAAGGTGGGTCGCGGGGAGTCGGAGGACCCAGGGCGGTGTGTCCCGGGCCTGCGCCCCCAGGCCCGGGGGAGTAGGGTGGTCCGAGGCTGGGAGGCGGGCCGGGCCGGGCTGGAGTGGGGAGGCGGGTGCGAGAGTCCGGCCTGGAGGGCTGAGGAGAGGGAGGGTCCCCGGGGCCCGGAGTAGCGCCCGCCGTCTGGACTGAGGCGGCCGGGACGTGCCCTGTAAATGCACGCGCGAAGCCCAGGTGAGCGGCCGCCGCAGCCCCACGGTTCCTTCTCGCGGGGAGCTGGCGCGCCGTGGTGGAGGTCTCTGCCGTGAGCTGAAACGACTCTGTTTTCAGGGGTGACCGAGGCCGTGGTCGCGGTGGGCGCTTTGGTTCCAGAGGGGGACCCGGAGGAGGGTGAGTGCCCGCCTGGACATCCCCGCACTTGCCAGTGCCTGTCGTCGGGGTGGGGGTTGGAGGTGGCCCCGGCTGCCCCCCTGCTGGAGGCAGACCCCTTCTCAGAACCTGCCCGTGCGGGTGCCCTCTGCCTGATTTCTGTTTGGACTGTTTTTCTTGTTTTAGGTTCAGGCCCTTCGTGCCACATATCCCATTCGATTTCTATTTGGTGAGTTCTTGAGTTAATATCAGTTTCCTGGTCATTGTCACTTATACATGTAGGTGGTTGGAGTAGGGATTCGTGAATGATTTGGGATTTTAAAGATTTTTACTTATGTGTTTATTTACTTTTGGCACTTGGAGATTAACCTTAAGGCCTCAAGCCTACCAAGCAAACTCTCGACTCTGAGCCCCTGATTTTATTACAATTAATACAGATTAGTAGTACATATAAATGGTTCCGTGTGATACTTCAGTACATGTATACAGCATGCACTGATGAAATCCAGCCTTCTTTGTCCACTCTGCCCCTCTGTAGAGTTGGAGTTTTGAGTCAACTGTGTCATTTCACGTACCAAAACAATGTAAGCAAAGCCACTTGCAGTGGTGCATACCTATAAACCCAGCTACTAAGGAGCCTGAGGTAGTAGGATTCAAAATTTGAGGCCAGCCTTGGCAACTTAGTGACACCCTGTTTTAAAATAGAGTTCTGGGGATGCAGTTCAATGGTAGAGTGCCAGTGGTTTCAATCCCCGGTACTACCAAAAAAAAAAAAAAAATGTAAGCAGGGTAAGGAAGATGATTTCTTGCCTACATAGTTGAAATCCGTCCTAAACAATTAATTGTATCTCTGGCTTAGTGTTTTTTTTTTTTTGTTTTGTTTTTTTAATACAAAGGTAGTGAGAGCTTAAATTATGGCTCTTCTATTCTTGTTTGAACATCTTGATTGAAAACAAGTAGAATTATCTGCTTTTAATTTTTTTTTCTATCATAACAGGAAAAAATATCTGTTGTATCTTATTTTTGGTAAAAGGTATGTTGTTTGTTTTTCTCTTAGTGTGAAATGGCCTTCCCTCGAGTCAAGCCAGCACCTGATGAAACTTCCTTCAGTGAAGCCTTGCTGAAGAGGAATCAGGACCTTGCTCCCAATTCTGCTGAACAGGTGTGTTCTTTTGGCTTTCTTTCTGAGATTTCACTAAAAACAGAAAAGTGACTATTATAGTTAAGAAGAGTGTTATGTGGGCTGAGGGTGTAGCTCAGTGGTAGAGCACTTAACCTAGCATGTGTGAGGCTCTGGGTTTGATCACCAGCAAGAACCTAAACTCCACAGAAGGTTTACTTGTCCTCTATATAGAGAGTTAAAGTGCTAGGTGAATATATGAGTGGTTATGTGGCATCATATTTTCATTGGGGAATCTATTATGGATTAAATAGTTGTTCTTTTCTGATATATTCAAGGCCAGAAGGGGGAAGTGTTTTCAGACCCCTATTGCATGAGTTTGTATAGAAGAGATTAGGGAAAAATGTTCCCCTAACCTCAAGTAACTCTTGAGAAGTTACTTGTGATTTTTGACTTTAGGGTATTTTTGTTTTGTGATGTTTTTTAGGCCTCAATCCTTTCTCTGGTGACAAAAATAAATAATGTGATCGACAATTTGATTGTGGCTCCAGGGACATTTGAAGTGGTGAGTTTTTTGATGGCTTAGTTCTAAGATAGGGCAGCCTTGTTAAGAGGAATTTTCATTGGCTTCTGTCTCTTTACCTGTTCCACATTTAACTTTAAATGGAAAAGTATAGACTTCTGAAATTTCCCTGTAATACTGTTGTTGGAGGCAAGATTTTTATCATTACTATCAGCTATCATTATTATCTGTAGCCACGTTGTATAGCCATGCTTTCATGCTTTTGAGATATGAATTTATCACTGCTGCATTTAAATGTGGGAAATAAGAAGTTGTGTCTTAAGAGTTCTGAGAGAAGGGCTGGGGATGTGGCTTAAGCGGTAGCGCGCTCGCCTGGCATGTGTGCGGCCCGGGTTCGATTTTCAGCACCACATACAAAGGTGTTGTGTCCGCCGAAAACTAATAAATAAATATTAAAAAAAAAAAAAAGAGTTCTGAGAGCAGCCGGTCACCCGCCTATAATCCCAGCGGCTTGGGAGGCTGAGACAGGAGAATCTCAAGTTCAAAGCCACCCTCAGCAACTGCAAGGCGCTAAGCAACTCAGTGAGACCCTGTCTCTAAATAAAAGAGAGATCTGAGAAGAGCTTGGCACCTTTTTTCTTCTAATTTTTTCCCCCTGAAATCCTTTTTCCAATAGCAAATTGAAGAAGTCCGACAGGTAGGATCATATAAAAAGGGAACAATGACTACAGGACACAATGTAGCTGACCTGGTGGTAATACTAAAGATTCTGCCAACATGTGAGTATACCTCTTTTTCTCTCTTTTCTGGTGCTAGGTGTCAAACCCAGGCCCCTGAGCTTGGCAGGCGAGTGCTCTACTGCTGGGCTACATCCCTCAGCCCCCAGTTCATCTTTCTGACCGAGGAAAACAATGTAATAGTTTGATTTGGGGCCTAGGGATTTTTAAAGGAGGGGCGGGGGGAGGGAGAGAGAGGGAGAGGTGTGTGTGTGTGGAACATAAATAGGAAATTTAATTTTTTAAGTTTACTGGATTATAAGGGACTGTTAGGTCAGCTTATTGTCACTGTGATGAAAATACTTGATAAGAACAACTTAGTGGAGGAAAAGTGTGAGGCTTTCAGTTTCAGAGATTTGAGTCTATGATTGGCCTATTCCATTGTTCTGGCCTGAGGTGAGGCCAAATATGATGGAAGGGTATGGGAGGAAAAAGCTATTAGCCCATGGCTGCTGGGAAGCAGAGACAGCAGTGAGGGACAAGATAAAGTCCAAAGCAGATCCTCAGTGACCTACTTCCTCTAGCCATGCCTCACATACCTAGTTATCACTCAGTAGTCCATTTAGATTATAATCCATCAAATGAATTAGTCTACTGACAAAGCTTCATTTCTCATAATCCAATCGTTCCACCTCTCACCATTCTTGCATTGCCTAACACATGAGCTTTTTGGGAGATACCTCATATCCAAACCATAAAAAGACAGACTCTGTAATGTGTGTCTGAAAGAATGTATACCCAGTACTCTGGGACTGTGTTTCTCTCTTGGATATTTTGCTCCTAAGGGAATTATTAGCACTGCCTGGAGATGTTTTTGGTTGTCACAGCTAGGGGGTACTCCTGGCATCAAAAGGGGCTAAAGGCTGGGAATGGTGCTAAACATCCTACAGTGCACAGGATTAACCAATCCAGATGTTATAAGTGCCACTGACCTGAAAAATTCGGCTTTAGCTCAGTGGCAGAGTACCTCCCTAGCACTTGTGAGGCGCTGGGTTTGATCCTTAGCATTGCGTAGAAAAATAAACAAAAATAGATAAATGCATGGCATGCTGTCTATCTACCACTACAAAAGAAAAAAAAAATTAAGTTATTAAAAAAATCTAACGATTTTAGTATGGAAAAAAGATGTGAGTATAGGAAGTGTCCTATTCCTGAACCTTCCAGTTTCTGTGTCTAGGACTTAGCTTTCCTTTGTAAAAGTATTCTGTTACACTTGTTCCACACTTGAATGTGGGGCAGAAATTATGGTACTAAGTATCTCAGAGATATATAGGAAGTCTACATAAACAGATGATTTATAATGGTATTTTTTCCCCCTCAATCTAGTGGAAGCTGTTGCTGCCCTGGGGAACAAAGTCGTGGAAAGTTTAAGAGCACAGGATCCATCTGAAGGTTTGAATTTATTGCTGAATATATATTGAGTGGCAGTAGGAGCCAGGTCCTGTAATCATACTTTCAACAAAATTAGGTCAGACTAGATTGAGTAAATGCAGTTTCATGTTGTAGGAGTTTTTGGAAGGGGTTTGAAATTCCATTTTATCTCCTTTCTAAAGCTCTGTATTTTGAATCCTTAGTCTGAACTCTGGTTTTTAAATGCCCACCTGTTTCCCACAGGAATGATTTAACTTTGATCATCTAATGAAAATGTGAATTACAACTTTTGATTATTTTGTTCTTTTAGTTTTGACCATGCTGACCAATGAAACTGGTTTTGAAATCAGTTCTTCTGATGCTACAGTGAAGATTCTCATTACGACAGTGCCACCCAATCTCCGAAAACTGGACCCGGAACTCCACTGTTAGTCCTTTTTTCCATTGCTGAAAAGTGTGGGGGAAATAAAATGCATGGTATCTTTGCTGAGTTTTTTTATTTCATAGGAAGCTTTCTGGAAATTGAAGGACTTAAGTTTACCCTGTACTTTGGAAATAACTTTACAAGCTTCCTAGTGAAATTTTCAAAGATAGGATAGCCAGGAAGAAAATTTGGAACAATTAAAAAGGATGGTGGAAATATTTGTGAAGAAAGGAGGATAGATTTTTGGAGAATATCACAGATCTTGCATGCTTCTAGATTTAGTTTGGAATAGGTGTAATAATTTTGGAATAAGTGACTTGCTGATCTGAGGAACATGAGATGGTTTAACAAAATTGTTAAAAATTAGCTTGCTTCTCCTTCTAAGTTTCTGAACCATGGTGGTGGCAGGACTGGATTGCTTGCTTAATACCAGGATTGTTTCACGTTGGTCTGTCATGCTTTATCTAGTGGATATCAAGGTGTTGCAGAGTGCTTTAGCAGCCATCCGACATGCCCGCTGGTTCGAGGAAAATGCTTCTCAGTCCACGTGAGTCGGTCTCTGGTCATTTTCAGATAACCTTTCTAACTGAATAGCAGGATTTCCCCATACTTCCTCTGATAGAACTGTTTTGGCCATGATCTGTTGGATTTTCATTTTTACTTTAAATAAGCAAATTAAGATTGAAAGAAGAGCACATGCGGTTTTATAAATAGTATAGTCAGCTTCAACTCTAACTCAGGTGTGGAAATGTGATCTTATTACCTTTTTTTGTGGGGTGGGCTACCAGGGATTGAATTCAGGGGCATTTGATACTAAGCCACATCCCCAGCCCTATTTTATATTTTATTTAGAGACAGGGTCTCACAGAGTTGCTTAGTACCTCGCTTTTTCTGAGGCTGGCTTTGAACTCTAGATCCTCCTGTCTCAGCCTCCAGAGTTAATGGGATTACAGGCGTGCACCATTTTGCCCAGCAGTGATGTTAACTACTTTTAATCCTTGGATCTCTTTTACATTCAGAGTTAAAGTTCTCATCAGACTGCTCAAGGACTTAAGGATTCGTTTTCCTGGCTTTGAGCCCCTCACACCCTGGATCCTTGACCTACTTGTAAGTAAACAAGGACAATAGGAATTCCTACGCATTCATATTGGTAGTACTTACTGTGAAACCTACCAGAATCTGAAATTCAGTAAAGCTTAAAAAGAAATTCAGTGGACAGGCGATCCAGTAGATTCAAAGTTTATTATTTCATTGGGTTCTGGGAGTATTTGATTAAATGAGTAGTTACTGAGTTACAGTGCCCCTTTTGTTTTTATTACTGTTATTTCATACTGGAAAGAAATGAACAAATGAGGACCAATTTCAGAATTTCTTCTGGATGTGTTTTGGCTAGACTTTAATGACTTATTTTCCTTGTGATGATTTATTCAAGTTTAAATTTGCTTACCAGACTTACTCTTTTCTAGGGGCACTATGCTGTGATGAATAACCCCACCAGACAGCCTTTGGCCCTAAATGTGGCATACAGGTACCACATATTTCTTTTCAGTTTGGGGTTGGTTATAAGGTGGTAGTGGGGGTGTGTTAATACTTCCCTATGTTTCAGGCGTTGCTTGCAGATTCTGGCTGCAGGACTGTTTCTTCCAGGATCAGTGGGTATCACTGACCCCTGTGAAAGCGGCAACTTCAGAGTACATACGGTCATGACCCTGGAACAGCAGGTATTGGGTCAGTTATGAAGTGGTCTATTCTGAGAGGACCTAGGGAACATGATCTTTAGGGATCAGGGTATCTGGGGGTTTTCAAAGACTGTGGTCCTAAGATTAAAAAGTTATATGCATCTGTTTTCACAAGGGTGTCAGAGAAAGTACTGATTTTCTTTGCTAATTTACCCTCGCTTTGCTCTTCCTCAGGATATGGTCTGCTACACAGCTCAGACTCTGGTTCGAATCCTCTCACATGGTGGCTTTAGGAAGATCCTTGGCCAGGAGGGTGATGCCAGCTGTGAGTACTCACTGTGTGTGTGGGTCAGGGGTTTCTTCTGGTGCTCAGCAGGCTTTGTGTGGTGCTGTGACATAACTCTGGGGCACTCCAAGGAGTTACGTCCCCAGCCCTTTCTTTTGAGACAGTCTTGCTGAAATTGCAGGGGGTTAGCCAGTGCATCCATCTTACTCAGATGACTTCATGTTTCTGCTGCGTTCTGCTTGTTTGCTGGGGTATTTGTTTGAAAGCACTTATTTTTTTTATTCTAGATCTTGCTTCTGAAATATCTACCTGGGATGGAGTGATAGTGACACCTTCAGAAAAGGCTTACGAGAAGCCACCTGAGAAGAAGGAAGGAGAGGAAGAGGAGGAGAATACAGAAGAACCACCTCAAGGAGAGGAAGAGGAAAGCATGGAAACTCAAGAGTGATCTTCCTTCCCTTCAGTCCCGTTCCTACTCAAGGGGAAGACCAGATCCTAAGCTATCTGCTACTGGGCTTTGTATGGTGCATTTCTGTGGAATAGAGGAGACATCAGGAAAGAAACTCTATAGAAAGATTTGTCATTCCATTGGTTTTGATACTGGCCTAGCAGCCCAAAATCTCCTGTTTATAAATCTATGCCATCCATCTATAATGAAGCAGGATACCAACATTTCTTCCTTATACTCCCAAATCCCAACTCCTAAACACCCCACTCAACCATTACTCTGTTGTTGAAATGTGAACTGTTAGGTGTTTGAACTTTTTTTTTTTTCTAAGAAAAACGATTAAAGTACTTCCTAGTAGGGCTCTTGGTTTTGTTTTTCCTTAGTAGGTGGTGGCCTCTTTTATTTACTCTTTTTCATTGGAAGTGATACTGAGTCATAAACACCAAGATCGCAACTTGAAACATCAGTAAATGAGAATACTGTTTAAGCATTTATTGAATTAAATGGTTCTAGCAGTACTGCTGTTGTATTCAAGCCAGTGCAATCAACAGAAGAGGGTGGACAGAGTTCATTCATCTTCTCTTTGTAAATCCTCGTGTAAACAAAAGGAAAAAGAGAAGTCACAGGTAGAGGACATGTTGCCTGGGTCCACTATAACCAGACATGTAACAAACGAAGCTCCAGCCTGGTTGGCGAGGCCTGAAAAAGATGGGCGTTAACTATGTAGTTAAGAAAAAAAACCTCATTTCGTTCTTGGAAGGGAGCAAGAGCTGTAACGAAAGTTCCTCTGGGAACTTGAGTCTACTGCACGCAGGTTTCTTGGGTTCCCACGAAGTGAGAAAGTGCTTTAAATAAACCATTTAGGTGTCCCAAAGTCTGCAGAAATTGTTCCCTGAATCTTCTCGTGTGTTGAAACAAGGCAGCGGGGTAACAACTATTTGTGCTGCTCAGTCCCCTGCCATCTTGTTACTTGCTTGGGGAACCAGGGGGATAAACTCCCGAGTCCAGCATTGCCCTCCTGCGGGCTGTTTCCTTGGCAACGCTGTGGTTTAGCCGCCTCAGCCGCTCCTACAGGACACAGGAAGAGGTGGAACCTAGTGACTGCCCCTGTGAAAGGCTTTGGGGTTCAGCCAGCCAGGTGCTGGAAACACCTGAGGACGGTCCTGCGTCAAAGTTCACGTAGGATGTCAATGGCTGCAAGTGGATATTGAGCACTGAGTCTTACTGACGCTAGTTGACCACTCCCTTCCCCCCAATTTTTAAAAAGTCGTGACTCATTGTGTTGAGGACTTGAAGCAGGGACTTCGTTTACCTGGGCATTCTGTAGGATGTTGTTGACCAGAACAACCCGTCGCCGGGCGTTGAGCAGCTTCTTAACGTAGGGGTCGAGATCCAAGGCCACCTTCTGGTCCTCGTTGATGCGGCACAATTCTGGGGACGGAAGAGCAACAGACGTCTGGCAGCTCACCTCCTGCTCTTAGGAAGGCGGAATCGTCCCGTCCTTCCCCCACTTCCTTTCACTCCCTGTCCCAAGGGCCCCGACGTCCTGGGGCCAAGGGGCAGAGACCCTGCCGGGCACGGGGAACCGAAGGTCCTGCCTGGGTCCGCGGGCCGCCCACTCACCCGCGGCGAGGTTGTCGATCTGCTCGCGGAGCTCCACCTGGCTCTCCCTGCAAAGGCCGCAAGGCCGCACGGTCAGCGCGCCCGCCGCCCACGTTTCCCCTGCACCGGGACCAGCCGGCCCCGCCTCCACGGCCCCGGAGCCTCCCCGGGCAGGCCGCCCCGCCCCGCCCGCCCCGCCGGCCCCCCGGGCACCTGACGGCGTGGACGTGGGAGTCCAGCTGCTGCACAGCCGGGCGCAGGAACTCGAGGAGGCCCTCGGCAAAGAGGTCGCGGCCTGTGGGCCCGGCCACCGGGGTCCCAGCCCCGGACACTGCAGCAGAACCTGCACCCGCCATCCCGAACTCGGCCGGTGCCGGGAACCTGCCGCTAGGGCCGCCGGGAACTGGGGTTCGCCCAAGTGCGCCGCGAGGGGGCGCCGCGGAGTCGCGGCGGCCCGGGGGTTGCTGGGAAATGGAGTTCCCGGCGCGCGGCAGCTGCGCACCCGCGGGCCCCGGGAGCGGTGGTTCTGGGCGGGACTGGAGAGCGGGGTTTGCAGAGCTCCGGGTTCCAGGAGCGCGGCCGAGGAGCTGCTGATTTGGATTGAGCGCTCTTTGTTTTCCTCCCATGGAATGGAGAAAATAACTGCTGTTCTCCCCAGTGTTCAGAGCCCTCTTTCAGGAGGAAACCAGATGATACTCAGAGTATTGTTTTATATTTCTAAAGAGTATTTTAACGATATTTTTAGTGGAGATGCACACAATACCTTTTTCTTCTTTGTTTATTTTTATGTGTTGCCTGTGGGGATGGAACCCAGGCCTCGCGCTCGCTAGGGAAGAGCTCTACCACGAGCCACAGCCCTGGCCCTGAAGAGTGCATTTTTAATGTCACTAAACATGTGCGAAACTTTATGTCCTTATAAAAGAAGGGATTGATTACTGAGACTCTGATACCTGCTGAGACCTCGGTGAGCCTTGAGAAAGTTATGCTAAGCGGAATGAGCCAGGCAGAAAAGGACAGAGAGTGCCTGATTCCCTTAGTAGGGTGCCCGGCCTAAAGTGTATGACAGAGGCTGGGTGTAGCTCGGGACAGAGCCTTGCCTGACCCGTGGGGGCCCTGGGTTATCCCCAGCACCCAGTGTCCGCAGGGTCTGGAGGGAGAGGAGAAAGGGGAGTCACTGTCAATGGGTACAGAGTTCCAGTCTAGGAAGTTGAAAAGTCACAGAGATGGATGGTGGGGATGGTTGCACACCATGGGAATGGACTTCAGGTCGTACACCTGTACATTTAAAGGTACATTTTTGTGCATATTTAACTACGATTACATTTTTTTAAAAATTACAGGTGTTTCCATATTTTCTTTTTTTCCTCAGAAAAGGTCCCTTAGAAGGCAGGCAGGCAAAGTGCAGCATGCATGTGATCCTGGCGCTGTAATCCCAGGTTTGAGGCCAGCCTTGGCAACTTAGTGAGACCCTATCCCAAAAAATGAAAAGAAAGTGGGGCTGGGGATGTGGCTCAAGCGGTAGCGTGCTCGCCTGGCATGCGTGGGGCGCTGGGTTCGAGCCTCAGCGCCACATAGAAATAAAAAAAATAAAGATGTTGTTCCGCTGAGAACTAGAAAATAAATATTAAAAAAAAAAAAAAAGTTACTCAGTGGTAAAGTGCCCCTGGATTCAATCCCTGGTGCCAAAAAAAAAAAAAAAGTCCCCTAGGACTGGCTCAGTGGTAGAGCCCTTGCCTAGCACATACTCTAGCCCTGGGGTTTGATCCCCACCATGGAAAGTTTAAAAAAAAAAAGCCCAGGGGCTGGGGTTGTGGCTCAGCCTTAGAGCACTCACCTAGCACATGTGAGGCCCTGGGTTCAATCCTCAGCACCACATAAAAATAAATAAATAACATAAAGGTGTTATGTCCAACTACAAATTAAAAATTAAATAAAGCCCAAAGTTTACTTTGGTTTTTCATAGCTCTCCAGAGACTCTACATCTCTGCCCATTAAGGCCTAATGTATTCTAGGTGCTCACAATTCCCTAGGCTAGGGCAGAGACTGAGTGTGGAGAAACACTCCTGAAGGACAGAAAAAGGGGATCCCTAGAGCTATGGGGGCACAGAGTGCTCATATTCATCTCAGAAATACAGGAGGACAAGGCCCTGGAATGGCTATGGGAGGCTGGTGATGGGAAGGTGCCCCAGTTGAGACCCCCGTTGAGACCCCGTCTTTTTAAGTCTTGTGCACTTGTTATTGTTGACTGTGATTCCCTGCTCCCTTCTCTCTGGTGATGAAAGGTCAAACTCTCCTGAGAGGCTGGGGACTTATTTTGAAAGTCATCAGCAAGGAAGGGGATAGCTAGGAAAACTGCACCCTGCTTCCCAGCCAGCCCTTGGGAAGAGGCATCCATCCCAGAGGACACACCAGTGACAGTGTTGAGGAGGAAAGGGGAAAATTCCAAGTCCCTGAGGCCTGATTGGAAAGAGAGAGCAGGAGTTGGCCTGGCCCTGGAGCTTGGTGGACCCGTGTGTGGACAAGGAATCTCCAGAAAATAGATGAAACAGAAAACCTGCAACACGAAGTGAGTTAGAATTCCAGATAAACAAGAAATGACCTTCTAGCGAAAGTATTTTATCAGGTGATCCTACTTCAAAAGCCGGGTCTCTGAGGGAACCACTGCTTTCTTCTTTCACTCCTTGTCACCTGGAGTGAGCTGTCTGCTCTCCCTCCTGTTGCAACAGCTGCTGTCTGGCCTTCTGGCCTCTGGTCTCTCCCTCCTGGAGCTTGTTGGCACTCTAAAGTGTCCGTCAATGCCATGATACCTTGCTGCGGCTGAAAGGAGTTTTAGAAACCATCTCTTGTTGGTTCCTTGGATGCTTGTGAAGGTAGACTTCAAAGGTGGGTTGCCAGATTTAGAAAACAGATCAAACAAAATACCTGGGGAACCAATGAATTTCAGTTGCTGATAAACAGTAAGTAACTTTTTAGTGAAGTATTTTATCGGCTAATCCTACTTCCAGAACTGGGTCTCTGGGGAAAACGGCTGGGCCTTGTTCTTGTGCTCTCCTTTTTTACTCCTTATCACCGTGGATTAACCATTCTCTCTCATGAACCTGCTGCGATAGTTCCTGCCTGATCTTCTGGCCTCTACTTTCTCCCCTTCTGGTCCATTTGGACTTTAAAATACCAGCCAGATGACACAAGACATAATACTATGCTCAGGGCAAATTAATGCCAAAAAAGATTTTATGCTCCATCCCTTGTTGGTTCCTTGGACGTTTGTGTGGGAGACGGGGAAAGGCTTTCATAGACGACCTGAGGTCCGACAGGAGGCTGGAGGCCCGAGCTAGTTCAGTTGTTCATTCTCCAAGCACTTATCAAAGTCCAGGCATCATGGCCCCCTGAGGGATGCAGCACAAAAGCCCTCTTCTCCCTGCTGGTTCTTGTGTGATAGAAGCAAAGGTGACTCCATTTTGTTTTATGACTCCATCCTGTAAAACAACCAGGCCAAGTAGAAGGGTCTTGACTGGGGCAAGATATTCTTTTCCTTTTGCTACAGAAACCTTTAAGAACACAGAACTACCTAATGGGACATTGTTTCCATAACTAGGGTAACGGGGCTCTGTTTCTGTAACTGGGGTGACTGGACTAACCGTGATTGGTTAGGCTTCCCTCCGCTTGACTGCACTCTCCTGCTTCTGTAACCTGGCTTGCTTGCATTGGCTAGACCCCCTCGCCCCCCGAACATCCCCTTTGCGGTTTTCAGGCTTATAAGGAGCGCCCTTGCAATTGTTCAGGGCTGATCAGGGGAACAGCTTTATGTTGTGGTCAGCCACCACCAGTGTGCTTCAATAAAGGCTTGATTCGATTATACGTGAGTGGTCTGGAAGTCAGTTTATGAAACCCCGGGATGAAGCTTTAACTGTAACACTTGTATCACATAGCACTGGCTTCTCCAGAGACTGAAGGAGATGCAGTTCCTAAGAACATCTCCTCTCACCCAGGTACGACATGCACCACCATCATGCTGCTTGTATCAGTCAGGGTCCCATCACTAGAGAGAAATGACATGATGATATCACAGGAAGAGTTTTGTATGAATAATTATTAAATATGACAAAATTGTAATCATGAGGGATTGACTGACAAGTCAAGAGAACTCTAAATCACTTGGGAAAGAGCAGCTGTTGCCCCTAGAGATAGAGGCTGCAAGGAAGAGACCCCCCTCCCCGCCCCCATCTGATATCCAGACACTTGGGAGCCAGCTCTGGTGTGCTCACTTTCCCACGATTTGGGAAACAGTCTCAGACTAAGGATTGCGGGGTTGAAGATATTCTGGGCAATTTAGGGAGACCGGTGTCCCAAAAAAAAAAAAAAAAAAAAAAAAAAACACAAAAATAAAATTAAGTGGTAGTGCCATGTGGGTGGAATGTGCTGGAAATCTGCCTTCCAGAACTTGCAGGCATTCTCTCCTCTAGAGTTTCTGGAAAGGCTGTTTATAGGAGATGGCTCACCTCAGGAATTCTGCTATTAACAGCCCGAGGCTACATGGCACTACCACTTCTGTACTGTTCAGTGAGCCACACCAGGACCCTCTTCCCCATACTAGGGATTGAACCTAAAGGTGATCTGCCACTGAGCTGCATCCCAAGCCCATCTGATTTTATTTTTAATGTTTTTTAGTCGTAGTTGGACACAATACCTTTATCTTATTTTATTTATTTTTATGTGGTGCTGAGGATCGATCCCAGCTGCTGGCCACTGGGTCCTGCTGGCTAGGCTGTGCCGCAGGATGGACACCTGGGGAAGCCAAGCTCTAGGGTGCCTACCAGAACGAGACAGCATGGTTCCTCCTGAGGCGTGTCTCCAATGTCCTCTACCACCGCTGGCAAAGGAACCATTTAAAGGGTCTAGAATCATTTTCAGAGAGCAGGCAAAACGGATGAATTCAGACCTGTGTGGCTTTATTCCTGGTTCTCTGACAGCTGGGACTCCACTAGTCTGCTCCTGCAGAAAGCTCTAGATCTAAAGGATTACCTGGGTTCTAGTCACAGCATAATATTGGTGTCTCCAACTCACAGGCCTGATCCAAACAATTCTTGTTTTCTAACCTCCCCATTTTTGGTTCCAAGTGGAATTTCTTAGGTGGGATTGTATCAAAATGGAAATGTATGAACAAAAAAGGGTCGAGGTACCTGAGGCCAGAGGAGGGGGAGAAGGAGAGGATAGGAAGAGAAGAATTAGAAGTTTTACAGAAAAATTCAGAGACCATACTCCTCCCATATCCCAACAGCCTCCTTGTGACTCTCTGAAAGCCAAGTTTGCTTTCTTGCTTCCTTCTTTCCTTCCACCTATGCTGAGAGCCACTGCGGAGTCTGTATGGCCCCTGGCATTTTGCCAACAGTATTGA